GCTGCGGTGTGGCGCTGGCGGGTCTGTTTCGCTGGTGTTTGGGACGGCAGCATGGTACGGAGCGCGGCGCTGGGTGCTCTCGCGGCGTTGGCCGTTTGGACGCGATTCCTCGCGAGCCAGCCCCATTCATCGGCGAGCCGCACAAGGCCCGCATCATGGGTGGCCGCGTCGGGCTCTACCCGGACCTCTTCGAACACGCCATGGAGTGGAGGACCTTTCGGTTGCTGTCTGAGCGGCTCAGGAAGATTCGTGATGGCGAGCATGTTTGCGAAGACTCACTTCTGGACGAGGCGATTACTCAACCGTGGGCCAGTTTGAATACTGCCACTATGTGGACTTTCGCGACGCCGTCCGCTGTCGCTGTTCATACCGAGGCCGAGTTCTCGCGTGTTTTCGGTGGTGGCGAGACAATGGGCGGCTGCGGAATGCCGCGCTATACTAGACTGTGTGCAGCAGGGAGCTCCACATCTCCTCGTGTTTCTTGCTGCCATCGGGCTTTTCAGAAGTGGGGCTCGAGCTGGGTGATCGGCGCGGGCAGTGGCGCTCGGGCAGTGGGCATGGGGCTTCTGCTGCGAGTGCTTCAGGCTTGGTCGGTTGCACGGCTGGGCTTCTGGAGTTCATCGTTGTGAAGGCGGGTGTGCCAGCTTTCCAGACGTGTAGTTTCTTGTTGGCTCGTTTCCGCCGCCATCAAGATGGTGGGCCTATCTGTGTAGCAGTGGGGGCTTTAACTATTTGAAGGGGCCCCAGGACACACAAATAAATACACACAAATAAAAATGTTATCCATATTTTCCTATATTTTCTGGGTTTCTGTCTTCCCCACCACTTCCCATATTTTCTTATATTTTCCTGGGAGTGGCCGATTAATTGTGTCTGTGTGTTTTTTCCCCTCCTGACTATTGGTGGGTCGTTCCCCGATTGGCATGGGCTTATCGGCAGGCGGTTGTTCCGCAACTTTTCAGCACTGTGCTGATAGCATGAGCAAGCGCGACAGGAGGCTTGATCTACTGCAGTCTGGTGCTGGTTCAGCGTGCCCCATGTTCAGCGTGCCCCCAGGTCTTATCGGGTCTTTTTATTTCCAGTGCGGCAGGCGTCCCCTTGGCGTTGGTGTATTGGCTGAGCCTGGCCAGCGCAAGGCAGACGTATTGCTGGCTATTTGTGGTGGCTGTTTGGCTGAGCCTGGCCAGCGCAAGGCAGGCGTATTGCCGGTTTCTGGCTGTGTGGCTCCCTCGCCAGCGCATATCCTGGCGTACCGAGGTACATGAGTCGGCTGTAGCGGGCAATTCGCCGGCCCATCGGGCCAGAGGCGTGCCAAGATCTCCGGTAACTGGTTAACAATATTTCTAATTCGCGCGCGCAGCGCGGCCCCTGGAGGTCTCCGGGCGAAAGTACCCGGGGAGAAGCCCGGGAAGAGACCCCGGACCGGGCAATTTTTCGACACCTCTCACGAGGATCGTGGCCTCCGAGGGGGGAGCCGCAATCGACTACCCCCTCTCCTGCCCCAAGAGGCCCACAAGAGCCCCCCAAGAGGCCCTGGGGACCCCCAAGACGCCGCCAAGGAGCCCCAAGAGACTCCCAAGAGGTCCCCACGAGGACCCCAAGAGGCCCTAAAGAAGTCTCCAGGGCCGGCGGAAGGAGCGAAACGATTAAATAAAGTGAAGGGCGTGCGGGATGGGTTGCTGCCGTGTGCATGTGCTTAGCGAACGTATTGTCGAGGTTTTCGGCTTGTTCGACTTCGTGGGCGTGGGCGTATGAGTGTGTCGCAGGCCCGGGAGGTGTGGGATGGACTTGGTCCTGGAACTCCTGAACTCCTGAACTCCTCCCCCCCCGCCTCCTCTTCCTCCAACACCCCCTCCACCCGTTCGAACAACACGTGCCCACCCATCCCCCCGACGGATCCAAGAGGGGGGCGATCATTGTCTCATCCAGACTACCGATGCCGCTGCTCCACACACCTGTCCAGGGTCGGGGAGACGTAAGACCCGGGTACGGGGGACTCGGAAATCCCCGACGAGGCCGTCAAAAAAATGACGAGGCCGAGCCTGCATTTTTACGAGGCCCCCCGCTGCAGACACCCCACGAAACTCCTCCTCGTCAAAGTCCGAGGCGCGATCGCCAGAAAACGATGGCGAGCCCGAGCCCCGGCAAACCCGGGTCTTACGCTCCCCCGACTTTAGTAAACCTCCCTTCAGTGAGGACGGCCCAGGACCGAAACCAGCGGACCTGGACCCGCAGACACGACGGCCGCGACGCCCTCTCGCGAACCGAAAACGGCCAATTCTCGGATCGACGTGTCGGGGTAGGAGGTCTGCCCACCCCAGAGATAACCCCACACCCGGGTCTTGCGCTCCCCCGACAGGGGCTGCGCTCCGACGAGCACTTCGAGGAGCGCCCGGCCGCGAAGACGAGGGCCGCCCGGGACCGGCGGCGGCATCGGCACCTCCCCCCCCCCCCCGGACTCCGACGCCTCGACGGACCTCTTCGCCGCGCGGCCACCGGCAGATCTGGACGCTTCCTCCTCCTCCTCCTCCTCCCCCTCCCCCTCCCCCTCCTCCTCCCCTCCCCCCTCCTCCTCCTCCTCCTCCCCCTCCCCCCCCTCCTCCTCCTCCTCCTCCTCCTCCTCCGCCGCTCTGCTCTGGGCCGCTCTCGGACGGTCCTGGGGCCCGACGGGGGCACCCGGAGGCCCGAACTGGTTGTCAGAACCGTCGGCCGTCGTCGTTTGACGGGCGAAGAGCGGCACAGAATAAACTTTTCCGCCGTCGGGGACACCTGCCATAGTTGGGCGCCCGAGTTATCCGGGGTAACTCGGGTCCGGGTTAACTCGGGTTTGGATCCCCGAAAAAGGAACCCGAGTTACCCCTGACCCGAGTTACCCCTGATGATTCGGGGCTCTGGACGCCCGAGTTATCCGGGGTAACTCGGGTCCGGGATAACTCGGGTTCGGACTCCCGAAAAACGAACCCGAGTTAGCCCTGACCCGAGTTACCCCTGATGATTCGGGGCTCTGGACACCTGCCATAGGGCGGCTGGAAAGTTTATACCCTTACGGTGGCGCCGTAGGGGTAGAAACTTTCCAGCCGCCCAGGGGCAGGTGTCCCCGACGGCGAAAAAGTTTATTCTCTACCGTTCTTCGCTCGCTGAGTCGTCGCCGCCGTCGTCGTCCGCGGCACCGTCGGCGTCGTCGGCGCCGGCGTCGCCGTCGGTGTGGGCATCGCCGGCCTCGCGGGCGTCCCGAAGGTGGGCCTCTGGGCGCCCAACTTCGAGGCCGCTGGCCGTCCTGGCCTCTTCGGGCGCCAAGGAACTCTGGGCTCCTAGGCCCTGGCGGCGGCGGCGGCGGCGGCGTCGGCGTCGGCGTCGGCGTCGGCGTCGGCGTCGGCGTCGTCGTCGTCGTCGTCGTCGTCGTCGTCGTCGTCGTCATTCTCGTCCTCGTCGTCGTCGTCGATCTCGTCGTTGTCGTCGTCGTCCTCGTCGTCGTCGTCCTCGTCCTCGTCGTCGCGTGGGCGTCGTCGCCTCGTACTCGGCGTCGGCGCCCTCGTCTTTCCAGGACCGAGTTTCGCGGTGCCTCGGCGAAGTCCGCTCTCGGGGCGGGCCCGGGGCCCCCCAGGGAGCTCCCAGACTCAGGGGCAACCTTCGGGGGGAGACCCGTTGTTCGACGACAAGAAGCGGGCCCTACGCGAGATGACGCGGCAACCCTGCGCGGCGGCTTGCGTGGGCCGCCGGCGCGGCACGCCAGATTCTAGACGGGGGCGCTGACGCGCGCCCTGTCACGGGCAACTTGTGCGCGAATGTCGGCGCAAACGGCTCCCGTTCTTGGCGTCGCCCATCTGGGGGCGGGGAACACCGACCTGGAATCGGCGATACTGAAGGGGCCCCGGGACACACCAATGAATAGATATAGACACAACGAACGGGACTCCCCCGTATCTTCCCATACTCTCTGGGCTTCTGTCTTCCCCCCCCCGCTTCCCATCTCTTCCCACATCTCCCCGGGAATCGACGATTCCTTGCGTCGGTGTGTATCGTTCCCTCCCGAGGTACGCCGCCGAGGGATCGGCTGTGTGCCCCCGCAGGTCCGCTCGCTCCCGGGCGAGCGATGCACCCGTCGGGCCCCCCTCTCGGCGATCACTGGGCGATGAGGGGTCGGCGCGTCCCTCCCTTTTGCGCGGGAGCGGCCAAGAGGGGGGCGTCCAAGAGGGGGGGGGTGCAAATCATGGCCGGCGGCATGTGCGCGGCCCAGAGGGGGGGGCCAGGAGCGTATTGAAGCAAGAAGGGGCGCCATGAAGTCTGGGGAGGTGTCATGGCCCCCGCCATGATATCCACTCCCCCCTAGTCATCGCCCCCCTTTTTGCCGACCCTGATGTGCCTACCATCGCTTAACGTTGCCCCTGGAGTTGAGCCGGGACCGACCGTCCTGGCATTCCTATAGGCCTACCACGACATGTTCTTAGAACCCAGAAACGTTCTAATAACGAAACAATGTTCTTGGACGATGAACCAAAGCCGATGTGTTAAGACAAGACAGCCCCAACCATACATGTTCTAAGAACATGTCGTGCAAACAACAGAAGATGATTCGAACATTCTTTGGTGGGCCTATAGGCAAGCCAGGACGCCTCGCCACTAACGAGGAGGCGCAACCGCCAGAGGGTATCCCAGGGCCCGAAAACCTCCGAGAGCCCCGCGGAGAGCGCCCGAACATCTCCGAAGAGCTCTGCAGGCAGACCTCTGGAGCAGCGCCGCGCCTCACGCAAGGCTGGGGCGGCCACCCCTCCTGATGACGACGACGATCCACCGACAGCGACGAAGACGCCATCACCGACAACGCCACCGGCTGCGCGCTGCGCCGACGGCGACCACGACGACGCCGCAGCCGACTGCGCCAACGACAGCGACGACGATGACGCCGCCGCTGCCGACGACGACGACGACGCGACGACGACGACGAAGCGACAACGCTGCCAATGCCGACGCTGCAAACAGCGACGGCGACGCGCGGGCGCCTGCCGAGGTCGCCTGTCCGCGCGGAACGAGCGCCGCCCAGGGCGGCGCAGGGCACAAAATACCTGCAGGGGGAGGCACCCCACGCAGCGGCGGGGCGGGGATGAGTGGCGGCAGTCGGCAGACCTCGGCGGCCACGTGCGGCAGTCGTTGGCCTCTTGTGGCAGTCGGTGACCTTCGTGGGCCTCTTCGGGCGTAGCAGAGCCTCGCGGGGCTCGTCTGGCAGGGCCTGGCAGTGATCAGCGAGGCCTAACAGGGCTCAGCAGGGTACCAGAGCCTAGCAGGGCCCGGCAGTGCTGAGGAAGGCTTGCCATGGCCTGGCAATGCTTCTCCAGGATTAGCAGGGCCTAGCGGGGCTCACCAGAGTCTAGCAGGGCTCAGCTGTGCCGAGCAAGCCTCAGCATGGCCCAGCAGAACTTAGCAAGGCCCAGCAGTGACTGGCACAGCCTGGCCTGGCTCAAGCAGGGCTTAACAAGGCGTAGCAGTGCTTAGCGAGGACTTGCAGGGCTTGGAGTGGCCCAGCAGAACCTAGCATGGCTCAGCAACGCTACGCAAGGCTTAGCAAGGCCCAACAGGGCCAGGCGAGGTTTAGCAAAGGGTAGCAGGTCCTGGTAGAGCCTAGCATGGCCACGCAGTTCGTAGCAATGCTTACTTGCAGGGCCTGGGTCCTAGCGACGCTTGGCAAGGCCTAGCAATGCCGAGCTGAGCTTAACAGAGCTTGCCCAGACATAGCGAGGCTTAACACTGCCTAGAAGGGCCTGACGGAGTCCATCAAGGCTCACAAGTTCTTCTGAGGCTTGGCATATCCTGGCACGTCTTAGCGAGGTTTACAAGGGCTTAGGCCTAGCAGAGCCTGGCATGGCCCAACAATGCCGAACAAGGCCTAGAATGGTTTAGCGAGGCGTAGCGGGGCCTACCAGGGCCTAGCGGTGCTCAGCAGGGCCGAGCATTGCTTATTGAAGCTCATCAGGGCCTGTCAGGGCCTAGAGAGCCTGGCAGGGCTCAACAATGCCTGGAAAGTCTAGCGTGGTTTAGCAGGGCTTAGTGAGACGTAGGATGGCGTAGCACGGCTCCGCAGAGCCCCGCAGGTCTCAGCAGTACTGGCCAAGGCTTAGCAGGTCCTAGTCAAGCGTAGCGAGGCTCAGTAAGGCTTGGCAGGGCCTAGCAGGGGCGCAACAGCTCTCAGCAAAGCTTCGCAATGCCTGGCAGGGCTTAGCAGACCTCAGCAGTGCTCAGCCTAGCGAGGCTGATCAGAGCTTAGCAGGGCCTTCCAGGGCAGAGCACTGCTTAGCAAGGCTTAGCAGGGCATGGCATGGCTTAGCGAGGCTTAGCAAGGCTTAGCGGGGCTCGGCTGTGCTCAGCAATGCGTATCATAGGCTCAGACAACTTGTCGAGGCCTGGCCGGTCCTGGCAGGGCTCATCAGTGCTTAGCGAGGCTTCGCAGGACCTAGCGGGGCTTGGCGGAGCATATCAGGGCTTAGCAGGGCCTAGCAGAGCCCAGCAGTGTTCAGCAAAGCCTACGATGGCCTTGCAAGGGTTAGCGAGGCCTCGCCAGGCCTAGCCCGGCCTAGCCATGCTCAGCAGGGCTTACCAAGGCTCAGCGATACTTGGCAAGGCTCGGGATGGACTAGCAAACCCCAACCTGTCAGGAATGGCTTGGAGAGTTTATGCACTCCTTCCCCAACCTCACCAGGGTTGAACCCGCAACCATGACACCCCCCCCACTATCTTTGTCAGAAGACATTGCGGAATCCACTTTGCGGCAAAATCTGGATCATGCACCGTCACCGCGCGATCACTTTCCACTGCTTTTTCCTGCGTCCAAAGTGGGGCTCTTGCTTTCTCTGCACGCACCCGCGCAGGATCCCCTTCTCGTCCTCTTCCTCACCATCACCATCATACTCACACACTCACTCACTCACTCTCTCACTCACTCTCATCACAGTCATCATCGTCATCATCAATCACACACCCACACACTCATCATGGTTATGATCACGATGACGATGATCACCATCACCATTCACCCACCCACTCCTAACATCACTTTTGGGCTCCTGAACGTGAATCTGGAGGAAGTATCAAGTGGGTGCCTTCTTTCTGAATAAGGAAGTCTCAAGCCGGAGACTCGCCTGTGTGACAAGTCCCAAGCGGGAACCTATGGGGCCCACAGCTCCTGTTTTTAATCTTAGTGGGTTATCCTCAAACCTGTAATTGCCGTCACTTTTGGGCTCCGCACGTTTGAATATGGACGGACATCCAGGCAGGATCATCGTCTGTGAATGATTTATGACCAATTCTCCAGCGGGAGCCTCGTGTGGGAGTGCCTTGCGGGGAGGCCACAAGTGGAAGAAGCTTCCTTCCTATGGGGCTCGCAGCTTTTTTGTTTGTTGCTTTTTTGTAAAATCCGAGCGGGTCAAACTCAAACGTATTCAGGTCGCTATCTTTGGGCACGGCAGACCTGGATATGGATGAAATATCAAGCGGCAGCGTCATCTGAAAAGTGAATTGCGAGGAAGTCTCAGGCGATAGCCTCGTCTGGGAGTGACTTGCGAGGAAGTCACAGGCGGGAGTCTTCCCCCTATGAAGCCCGCAGCCAATGTTTTTTCACCATAGCGGGTCATCATCAAAACTGTAATTGTCTCGCTTTGGGGCTCCTCCCCGCAGGTCCCACAGGTCCCACACGGTCCGCCAATCCCGCAGGTCTCATAAGTCCCACGAGGCTCGCAACTCCTACAGGTCACGGGCCCCGCGGGCCCCACAGGTCCAACAAACCCCACAGGTCTCGCACAGCTCCCACGAGTCCTACAGGTCCCAGAGGTCGCAATCTGGCGTCCTGATACCCTGCCATCATCACCATCGTTAATCGTCGTTGATGCGGGTTCTCATGCACATGAAGGGGGTTATCATGCGCCAGCGCCACGCCATCACCTCACACTGTTCTTTGACAGGAATTATGGGGGGCGCATGGGCTCCCGATGATAGTTGATGGCAGGTGCTACTTATGCGGTGGGAAGGCGCGTGGGAGTGAGCGAGACCGCCGTCCTTTTGCTGCAACAATCAGTGGGCGCGCCGCCAGGGGCCCCAGAGTATCCCAAGAGGCACCCAAGAGGCCCCTCACTATATATATATATATATATATATATATATATATATATATATATATATAAGGAGGAGCGCGAAAGCGCGGAGAGAGGTGCAGGCGCCAACCAGCTCGACAGTGTGCAATCGAGCGAGCGGCGACGGGGCGGCAGCAGGCGAGACGAGCACCTGCAGAGACCGCCCTCGGGCTCGGTTGACCCTCGAGGCCAACGCCAGTGCCCGAAAAAGGCCAGCGAAAGATTGGCTGATGGGCATGGCCACCCACCAAAGGACAGGTGGAGCCCGCCACTGGGCTCCCTCCACCCTGCCGCCCAGCAGGGCAAAACAAAGCGGGGGGGAGCCGGGCAAGGGGGGAGCCCGCGGGGCGGCCAAGCCTAAAGAGATCGTCTAATAGAAACCACCGTTCTGAATTGCTTTGCCCTCTGCTGTGGAAGTTGGCCCAGCAAGAGGGCCGCCAAATTCTTGCGCCCACGTCGCGTGATCGGTCTACAAGGTTTGCCCGAGCCATCGGAACGGACCCGAAATCGGCCATGCAATCCACGCGCAGAACAAAACACAGCGCCCTGGACCACAGTCTGGAGTCGATGAGTCTGATGAATAACTCGGCCGAAAAAAAAAACACCGTCGGCTCCACAAAGCGAGCAACAGCACGGCACGGCGTTTTCAGAAGATCGTAAGCGAATTTCCTAGCCGTGCGTCCATCACACAAGGAACGCTGTCAAAATGGGCGGTGAGGATGCGGGATCTTATGCTGCGTATTACTCGGGGCACGGCTGAGCTTCAAAGTTTCACGAGCATGCTTTGAAAGTTTCGGGCGATCAACCTTGGGCCGCGGCGGAGGAGGGACACGGTGGGAGGCGCAGTCAAGGAGGACCACCGCTACATGTTTCCTTACCACCGCCGCGACTTTATCTACCAATTCAATCTGCACGCGCTGCGAGCATGGGAGCTGGGCCGCCTCAGCAAAAGACTCGGCCAACTCATCCGCTCTTTGATTCGCAAAGAAATGCGAGAGCGGGATCGAGCGCTCCTGGGCTTCAGCAGCCGGGAGGTGGGACTCAACCTTGAAGAGCCGCACAACTAAACCAGGAGTGTCTCTGATCACCGCTCGGAGCTCTAACCAATCGGTTATGTTGCTGGTGGGAAACTCTCCGCGCATTATAGCTGAGCATCCGCGGAGGACATAAGCGCTATCGGTTGTAAACTGGCGTTCGGCTTCAATCGGGACGGGCCTCGTGGCCCTCAAAAAGTTGCGAAAGCTCAGAGCTCGCCTCTGTTCACGGATTGTTTTATTTAATTCAAGCGGCCCACCCCAGGATTTGATCTCAGACAGTCTGCTCTCCTGGAGGTGGCTTCCATCCTGGAGAATAAGGGTGGGCCAACCTATGCGTCTAAGTCTTGGGTCGGCTGAGTGGGCCCCCCTGCTGGCGTCGCCAGCTCCAAACACCACGCCACAAGGAAACGCCAACTCCGAGGGCGAGAGGTCGAGGTCGAGAGGCGGGGGCGAATCACTGGGGGGGCCCACTTCAACCCAAGAGCCCGGCACCAGGCCTCGGTGCCAGAAGCAGGGCAGCTCTTCACAATCAAGGCGCGCTCGCTCCACGACTGCAGCTGGGGCTGTGCCCTCCAAAACATTGTTGCATGGGCATTCCCAGTGGGCGTGTGTCGGGGTCTCTGGGGCCTCTTTGCAACGGGGGCACAAGAGGGTCCACCTCGGGAAAGCAATCGTGCACCCGCTGAGCTGGCCACAAATTGCCAGTCGCGATGGCTTGGTGAACTCCAAACAGTGCAAGCTCTCCCCTTCGCCTGAGGCCCCTCAGAAAACCACGGATGGGGCCCAATGTCAGGGGTTCCTCGCTCGGGACCAAGCCCCAGATATTCCTCCGAAGCAGCGGTCCACAAGGGCCGCTGAATAGAAAGAGAAAACACCTGCTTCAAATCAGGAACAATCAAGCGCCCGAGC